CCTGTTCTGGTAGATGAGATGATTGTCCCCTCTACAGATGAGGCCACCGGGGCTGAGTGGGCGTATTTTCCTGTTGCCGCCATAACAAATTACCACAGACTCATGGTTTACAACGACACAAACTTAATCCCCCACCGTTCTGGACATCAGGAGTCTAAAACCAAGGTGCTGGTGGGGCTGTGTTCCTTCTGGAGACCAGGGGAGGATCCCTCTCCTTGGCTTTTCCGGTTTGTAGAGGCTGTCTGCCCTTCCTTGGCTGGGGGCCCCTCCTCCCTCTTCCAAGTGTGTGGAATGTTCCGATGTTCCATCTCCCTTTTCTTGCTTCGTCCCTCTCACCGCCCTGTGTAACTACCTCGTGATGACATTGGGCCCGCCCCGATTATCCAGAACCATCTCCTGATCTCAAAAACCTTAATGACATCTGCACAGTGCCTTTGGCCATGTGAGGTAAGCTACTCACAGGTCCCAGGAATAAGGACGTGGACAACTTTGGGGTGGTGGTGCGGGGCAGGGGGAGGTGCTGTAGTCTGTCACCGAGAGCTCAAACAGGTTTCCCCAAGTCGCACAGCTGGAGCGTAGAGGTCTGGGGGGTGCGTGTCCAGTGGTGGGGGTGGGGGCTGGCTTCCTCAAGCCACTGGCAGTGCATGTTTGTGATCCGTCCCCATACCCAGCAGCTTTCCCACCGCAGCAAGCGGGCAGGGCTCGCACCTTGCTCTGCCCTTGGCCCTTGGCACCTGGCAGCTGCCCTTCCCCCCACTCGCACTCCCCGGCCACGAATGGACAGGGACGGTGGTCCCCGGGAATCCCAGCCTCGCGTGCCAGGCCTCCAGGTCTCTAACCTCCTTCCAGTATGAGGCAACCTCTCCGAGTGCCTGGATGCCTGTCTTCCTGCAGTGACATCGAGGTCTCTTCCTGCTGGCTCAGTGAGCTTTTACTGTGCACCTACATGTGCCAGGGCCCTGGGACGCAGAGGAAAATCACCACCCATCATGCCCCTGTGGACACTCAGGGTCAAGTCAACAAAACAAATGCCCGCGATACCCACATAAAGCCGTTCCCAGGAGGCTGGCAGCCTCAGTTATAATAATCCTGTTCACAATACATGAGAGGCACAAAATATACTAATGCACTGACCAAAATTCCAACTCTTGGACATTTTCCCTAAGAAAAACACAAGATTTATACCATTCTGTGATTGTAAAAACACACGTGACTAGTTAATTCCGGTACATCCACCCAGTAAAATACATACCCACGAAAAAAACTACAGAACATGCAAACATGCTTAATACATGATGTTTTCAGAGCCTGAGCTAACAGCCACCCACCCACAGGAGACTAATTCACAAAGTTAAGGTGCATCCTGACAACAGCAGTAACAGCTGTCCAAAAGCAGGTGGAAATTGTCCCATGTGTCAGAGGAGAAAGATCTCCGTACATACGCGGTTTACGCACGGAAAAATTCTGGACGGATTTGAGTGCCGTGGTTCCGAGGTCAGAACTGTAAGTCTGTAGCTTTTTATACGTATAATACAGGGGTGCCTGGCTGGCTCCGTCGGAAGAACATGTGACTTTTGATCTCGAGGTTGTAAGTTTGAGCCCTACGCTGGGTATAGAGGTTACTTAAAATACAAAAAAAGAATTAACTTAAATAAAAAATCTATATTCTAGGGCGCCTGGGTGGCTCAGATGGTTAAGCGTCTGCCTTCGGCTCAGGTCATGATCCCAGAGTCCTGGGATCGAGCCCCGTATCGGGCTCCCGGCTCAGTGGGGAGCCTGCTTCTCCCTCTGACCCTCTCCCCTCTCATGCTGTTTCTCTCTCGCTCGCTCTCTAAAAAATAAAATCTTAAAAAAAATCTATATTCTATATATTACATATAAAATATATAATAAGCTAGGGGTGACAAGTCTTGGCATAACCACTTTGCAAAGCATGTAGTAGTTTCAATAAATTTGAAGCTATGCATATCTACCTCTGACCCAGTCGCTTCACTCTTGGGTACAAATGAGTTCTCCCTTACCCGAGCACGAGGAGATAGGGAAAAGACTATCCCTGCAAAAGCCCTGTTTAAAAGAGCAAAATATTGGAATGATGCAGATGTCATCTGCAGAAGAATCGACAAAACAATTGTGGTCACTGCATACAGTGGAACACTTAGGAAGCGTTGATAAATTCTTGGAACGAATTAACCAGATTTTCTAGGTGCTGTTCTCATGCCTAGAAAACACCCGTTCTCCTGGAGCTTGCAGGGCAACGGAGCAGGGGGGAGAACAGAGGGCTGGAGAGGCAGAGACTCCTGGGTTTTCACGTGGTGGTAATGAACCACTATGAATCACTCCATGAACACACCAGGGCTACATGTAGCCACATGAATAGTGCTCAGCAAGAAAGAAAGGTACAGAAGGATTCATACAACATGAATATGTCATTTTAAAAATCTACAAAATTCTATGTATTGTCCATAGATCCGCAACGAGTAAGGGCAAACTCACAGAGGGGAGGGGGCCATGGCTCAGCAGGTGACACAGGGTTTCCCTGTCTCATCTCCTCCTCCCAAAGCAAAGAAGAAAGGAGGGAGAGAAGGAAGGAAGGAAGAGAGAGATCCGATGGAAACATGGCAAAACATGGAGACATGACAGAGCATATGGGAGGGTTGGCCGTGGAGGGAAGGGTGTGACATGCCCCAGTTTGGTGGCAAGAAGAGGGAAGGGCATTTCTGGGGGAAGGAGCTGCTGACAGATCACAGACACGCGATTTTTCTCTCCTCATGCTGAACCTCTTTCACCGCTGTAAAGAAATGAACACCCAAACTGTTTTTCTTTCCTGGACGTAAGTGGTGGTCAGGATGGCCTCCCCTCTGTCCTGCCCCGCATCATGCTCAACTTTATTTGGCCACTTTGCTTGGTTTTCTACCCTCGTTTGCCCTTCTTTGTGAAATTTCAGTCAGAGGTTGCTCAGAAAGTATATGGGATTTTCGTGAAAAGCTGCCCAGACTCACAGTCCGGGGCTGAGGAGGGTCTTCTGCTTTGTGAGCTCTTCTGAGAAACAGTGCACCTGCTAGGTGCCGGGCCCTGTTCTGCGTGCTCAGGAGTGAGATAAACAAGATCCCCAGTTTCTGGAAGTTTACACTCAGTGGGAAGAAACAGGAAAGACGTTAGTGAAGTAGTATCTGATAAGAGCCGTGCAGAGCATCTAACAAAATCATCTGATCGTGACTAGTGTCACTTGGTAATCCCAGGGTCCTTTAGAGACTTGTTTCCTTCAATGAGGTTTAAAGTGAACTTTTGTCTATCCAAAAAATAAAAATCTGTTTTAGGCTTTCACTAAAAAAGAGGAATTCAGGGTAAAACAGTGTCATCTTCCCAACTGGTAGTCATTGGGAAGAATCGTTTTACTCTCTGTCCCTCCAAAATACCTTTGGTTGATGTCATGGTTCCATGATCCTCCATTTATTTATTTGAGAGAGAGAAAGCGAGCGTGAGAGAGAGCACAAGCAGGGGGAGGGGCAAGGGGAGAGGGGGAAGCAGGCTCCCTGCTGAGCACGATGCGGGGCTCTATCCCACAACCACAAGATCATGACCTGAGCTGAAACCAGGAGGCTTAACCCATTGAGCCATTCGGCGCCCCAAACAGTATTTTTTTTTTTTAAGATTTTATTTATTTATTTGAGAGAGAGAGAATGAGAGAGAGAGCACATGAGAGGGAGGAGGGTCAGAGGGAGAAGCAGACTCCCCGCCGAGCAGGGAGCCCGATGCGGGACTCGATCCAGGGACTCCAGGATCATGACCTGAGCCGAAGGCGGTCGCTTAACCGACTGAGCCACCCAGGCGCCCCCCAAAAGTATTTTTTCCTGTATTTTTTTTCCAGATATTTCAAGGAGGGAGAATAAATGCAGTCTTGGTCCCCCATTTGGGTAGAACCCCCCCAAATCTGTTTTTACCTGTGAAGTCTCTTCCTACTGGTGATCCCCACTCTCATGTCCATGTGGTTCCCCAGTGACTTGGTTGCTTGGTATCCAAGGGTGAATTTTCGGGAGTGACTTTTGGTAACAGCAGTGGGGTTGACCACAGGCTCAGGGCCTGGGGACCAGGCTCAAGCCCAGCTTCTGGTACTAAACCAATGGCTTCGGGGGTGCCCTGTGACTCTGGCTTCCACTCCGGTTTCTGTCAGATGGCAGTCCTCGTGCCTGCCTCAGCTTGGTGGTCGGGGGTGTGAGGGTTAAGCAACGTGTGTGCAGAAGACCGGGAATCACAATAGCTGCAGATTCTCCACAAGGGCGCAGTGGACGACCGTGGAGCCATGACGTCAACAGTCCGAGAGAAACGGTTTCCATCCACGAGCTCTGCACGCAGCCCAACCGTCCATCTAGACCTGGGCTCCGGGCAGGGCGCCTAGCTCTGCAGTCCCCAGCGCCAAGTCTGCGGCTTTGGGGGAAATCCCGTGAGCACCATAATACCCTTCAATTAATACCTTGTCTGCTAAACTAAAAAAAGAAAGAAAGAAAAACGTGTGTGAAATCCCTCCGGAAGCTCTGAAGCCCCCACGGAATCGTAAGGTCTTTGCATCAGCCATTCGAACAAGCGGCCGTCCCCGGGGACGTGCCCACCTGGGCGCCGCCGCGGCGAAGGGCCTGCCCACGGGGTGAGAGGGAGGGAGGGCGGGGCTTGTGGCGGAGCCGGGGGGCGGGGCGGGGGCGGTTCTCAAACTGAGCCACGCAGCAAACGTCACCAACATGCAGGTGCCGGGGCCCAGCCCGCCCTACGGATCTAGAATATGTGGGGGTGAGGCCCGGAAATCTGTTTCCAGCAACTCCTCCGGAAGATCCTGATGCAAGGGGCTCTGCAACCATGCTTTAAGGAAAACTTAATTTGTCATCTCTAGAATGGGATTAACGATAAAACTCCAGTGTCATGCGCATTATGTGAAATTAATTTTATAATAAAAAATTTTTTTTAAGATTTTATTTATTTGACAGAGAGAGACACAGCGAGAGAGGGAACACAAGCAGGGGGAGTGGGAGAGGGACAAACAGGCTCCCCCTGGAGCAGGGAGCCCGATGCGGGACTCGATCTCAGGACCTTGGGATCATGACCTGAGCCGAAGGCAGACGCTTAACAACTGAGCCACCCAGGAGCCCCTATAATAAAAAAAAATTTTTAAAGATCTTATTTATTTGAGAGAGAGAGAGCAAGGGGTGGGGAGGGGCAGAAGGAGAGGGAGAAGCAGGCTCCCGGCTGAGCAGGGACACGGATGCGGGACCGATCTCAGGACCCCGAGATCATGACCCCAGCTGAAGGCAGACGCTTAACCAACTGAGCCACCCAGGCGCCCCTATAATAAAAAAAATTTTTTAAGATTTATTTATTCATTTATTTGAGAGGGGGGCAGAGAGCACAAGCAGGAGGAGCGACAGGCAGAGGGAGAAGCAGGCTCCCCACCAAGCACAGAGCCTGTCCAGGGGCTTGATCCCAGGATCCCGACACCACATCTGAGTCACAGGCAGAGGCCCAACCAACCGAGCCACCCAGGCGCCCTATAATAAAAAGTTTTAGGAACATAGGATTGAGAGTCTGGAGAGCTGGGCTTTCGGCCAGACTGCATCTCTAACTTGCTGTCTGACCTTCTACAAGTCATTCAACCTTTCTGTGATTCAGTTTCCTCATGTGTGAAGGGCACATGCCTTACCTTCATCTCAGGATTGCTAAGTGACATCACAGGAGACCACGGCTATGGAAATCCTTTGAAATGTAGGAAGTGCTGAGCCTCTGAAATACAGTCCCATGGAAAACGGAAGTAGAGCTGGCCAGCAAGCGGGCAGACGTGAAAGGCATCCCAGATGCATCCAGGGCTTCAGGGAGAGCGGGAGGCGAGGGAGTCTTGACCTGGTGCAGGCCAGGGGGGCATCCTTGGGGAGGCAGGGAATGTTCTAGGCATGGGTCCAAAGAGGCCAGGGCGAGGAAGGGAGGTTTCCAGGTGAAGCAGAAGACTTTCACACCACATGGAAAATGGAGAGACCAGAGGAGCCAAGACATGTGCATACCACAGCAGTAAAGGGGTGATGAGAATCCTAGCATCCACACGGAGACATCTCGAAAAATGCCCTTAGAACTCAAACAAAAAAATCCCACATTAGAGGAGGATTTGTATAAGGTTAGCTCTAATGTAAAGTTTAAAAACATGGAAAACAATATTTCACATCTATTTTATAAGTGCATGTGTATGTAGATGTAAAAGTATAGATATGTTTAACCAGCACTTTTATGCACTTTTAATGCACCAGACACTATTCTAGGTGCTTTTTTTTTTTTTAGAGAGCGAGAGCATGAGCGAGTAGTGGGGGAAGGGCAGAGGGAAACGGAGAGAATCCTAAGCAGGCTCCACACTCAGCACGGAGTCCAATGCGGGGGCTCGATCCCAGGACCCTGAGATCATGACATGAGCCGAAACCAAGAGTCTGACACTTCACTGACTGAGCCATGGACCCTATTCTAGGTGTTTTAAAAACAGTTCATTTAACCCTGAAAACATGATGAGATGGGATGCTATTCATGTTCCTCAGAGAGGGTAATGAATTGATCAAAGTCAAACAGCCAGTCAGTGGCAGAAGCAGTTTTCCATCCAGTCACTATGGCTCCAGAATCCATGATATTAACCATCTCACCGGCTCTCTGTGACAGAGACAGAGACTAACGTTAGGACTGCGGTTCCCCTGGAGGAGGAGGGGCGGAAGAGGAAGAGAAGGGTATACAGAGAGCATTAACTCTGTGATGTTTGGGGCTTTTTTTTTTTTTTTTTTTTTTTAAGAATCTGAATATGACTGTATCCATTTGCTGGGACCGCCATAACAAAGGACCAAAGACTCGGTGGCTTAAACAACAGTAATTTATTTTCTCCCAATCCCAGAGGCTGGACGTCCAAGATCAGGGTGGCGGTAGGGTGGGTTCTTCCTCCAGCCTCCCCCTCCCTGACGCCTAGATGAAGATGTCTACACACGCCTGCACTCTGTCCATGTCTGTGTCCTCATCTCCTCTTGTATGGCCACCATTCACAGTAGATTGGAGCCCATCCTTACGACCTCATTTTAACATCATTGCCTTTTTAAAGACCCTGTCTCCGAATACAATCACATTCTCAGGTACTAGGGATTAAGACTTCAATATATGTTGAATTTAGGGGGGGCAGTGTGGACAAAATTCAGCCCATAAATAATGGTCAGATAACAAGGTGTGACAGAGCTGGTGGTGGGTACATGGACACAGTGGCTCTGCACTGCTCTGTATGCATAAACTATTTCATAATAAAAAAGTCAGTGTGATTGATTACAATGCTGTACTTAGTAACGATGCGGCATGCAGGCTGGGAAGGCCTGAGAGTCCAGGAGGAATAAACTGGCCACGTGCAGCCTCTCTGTAGTCGAGAGCAGGCTTCTCAGGCTGCACACTAAAAGCCCTTGAAGAGCTCAGAGCATTCTGAAGTCTGAGCCCCACCCAAAATCAATTAAATCAGAATCTTGGGCTGAGGCTCCCGGATCAGAGGACAAACAGGTTCCCCAGGTGCGTCTAATACGCACCAGGGCTGAGAAGCCCTGCTCCAAGACCATGGCTCTCCAGCTAGCTTCGGCGGAATCCCCTGGAGGGTTTGTTAAACGCACGGTGCTGGGCCCCACCTCTGAGTCCGAGTCAGTCGGTCTGGGGCAGGGCTGAGGCTTTACTGTTCTAATCTGTCCCCGGGTGCTGCTGATGCTGCGGATCCAAAGACCATCCCTGGAGAACACCGCTCTGAGTGGGTGCACACTTGCAGCCTGCAGACAGGCACCTGCTGTTTGATGTTCAGGGGAGCTTGGAACGTGAATGCCTGAGGACGGGGCCCGTGCCGTGCCCATCCCCAGTCTCCATCGCTCCCTATCGCTTGCTTGGGTGGGTTTCTCTGCCTGAGGGTGAGGCTCTGCAGAGAAGCTCCACTCGGTGGTGGACCTTTCAGGCAAGGTTTGTGGCCCTTTTCTGAATGACATCTTTCCCCCACTTGTCCATCCATTCATTATTCAGCACACCTTTGTTCAGCGCTTATTATGCTTCGGATACTGTGCTAAGGGCTGGGCCCACAGTGCTGCATAAGACATAGTCTCTGGCCTGGAGGAAACGACACTGAGGGAGGAACCGTAGTTTCTGTCTCCTTCCCTTCTCTCCTGTGTGGGTTTCAGGCTGTCAGTGTGTGCCAGGTCTATTGTTCAAACCTCCGTGGGATTGACATTCTCGCACATAAGTGAATAAAAAAAGTGAGATTCAACAGGGTGGATAGAGTGTGATTGCAACTGTATTAAAATGCATTTTAAAAAGAGGTAAGGATGGGACGCCTGGGTGGCTCAGTCGGTGAAGCGTCTGCCTTCGGCTCAGGTCATGAACCCAGGGTCCTGGGATCAAGCCCCACATCAGGCTCTACACTCAGCAGGGAACCTACTTCTCCCTCTCCCTCTGCTCCTCCCACCCCTGCTCGTGCTCTCTCTCTCAAATAAATAAATAAAATCTTTAAAAAAGAGAGAGGTAATACATGAAGTTGTTAAGAAAGAACAGTTGCCCTTCTGGACGGGCCATTATGGATGGGTTTTGCTTACTTTCTTATTCCTTTCACTTGCGATGTTTCTAGAATTAGCATCATTACTTTCATAATTAGAAAGAATAACTCATACAAACACCCTCCCCTCCCTGTGTGGGTCTGCACATGGGCGTGTATGTGTGTGTGTCTATGAGCATCAGCATATCTGTGCTTGTGGTCCAGGGTGGAGAGACGTTTATGCTTAGAGACATGACTCATATTAAATTGAGTGAATGGTTTTATTCCAGTGTGATCAGACGGGGGACATTTGATTCCCCACCAAGTTGACCCATTTGCATGGCAATTCCTCTGAAGATAACTGCTTCTCAGTGATGCCTCCACAACATTTCCCAGCTTTTTGTAAGGACTTAGGCTCTGGGAGAGTGGGAAGGGTTACTTGCTTCCTGCACTAAATGATCCCAGGGAATCTGCTGTGTTTTGACTCTGCTCTCTTGCCCTTGGTGGTAACTATCCCTTTCTAAGGTACAAGGACAGGCCGCCATGCATCCTCTCCTCTCACCTCCCCATTGTCGGGGGAGACCTGGAGGAGTGGAGAGGGAGGGGGGCTGGCTCTGCCTGCTGCGGTCCCCCCCCCACCGCTGCCGACCATACACTGTGTACCAGGCACGTGTGAAATTCGTGTGTGTGGTTCCAAGTCACCAGAGTCTAGGTAGTGGTTTCTAGAGCTCCCCCAAGAACGTCTTTGGCTTGTTTCCCCCCGCAGACCCCTGTTTCGGAAGATTTTGTGCACCATATAGTGACAACAGCAAGCAGCCGCCTGTCCTGCACATTCCAGGGGAAAGTCTCCCGACACTATCCACTCGGTCTGCACAGCGATGCTCTCTACGGTCTATGTGGAAATGCTATCGTCACCACATTTTATGGAAGCAGGAAACGCAAGGCACAGAGAGGCTAAACATTTTCCCCAGGGCCCTACAGCTGCTCAGAGCGAGGATTTGAATTCAGGCCTCTCAGACTCAACCTGGAGCTTTTCCACTCTGCCATGCTCTTTTTTGCAGAAACAGAAATTAAGCTATAATAATAATAATAATATCAAAACTACATTATTCAATACTAATTCCTTTTACTTTCAATTGTGAAAGAATCACTTATATAAACTGGCTTGCTCAGAAGGAATTCCAGCATCCAGTTACTATGATTCTGACATTCAGTTCATTGGTGCAACCCGATCATGGATGTTGTGAAATGTAGAAAATAGGCTAAAGGTCTTGCTCACCAGCCCCCCCAAACCCCCCCAAGTTTTCCTTCCTTCCTTTTTTTTAATTCAAATGAAAATCTCATAACCTATAGCTAACCATTTTAAAGTGAATAGTTAGTGGCATTTACTACATTCACTATGTTGGACAACCACCACCTCGATCGAGTTCCAGAATTTTCATCACCCCAAAAGGAAACTTGGTGTCCATTAAGCAATTACCGCCCGTTGTTCCAGTCCCTGGAAACCATCACTCACCAGCTTTTGAAGCCTGGGCTCTGGGTGTCCGGGTTAAGATCCCGGCTCCAACCTGGGAGCCAGCTCTCCTTCTACCTTCCTGAGTGGAATCCCCCAAGCTGAAGGGGCTGCCTGAGCCACCTGCAAGCCCCCTTCCACGGGGCCCTCACACAATTCCAGGACAGGAGCCCCTTGTGGCTTTGGGCGGGGAGTCTCCTCCCTTAAGTCCATTGGGTTCTGAATGGCCGGGGGCGCAGGAACCCTGACAACAGGGTCAGTAAAATGTCACCGAGTTTGCTTTTACCCCATGGGATGTGGAACTTACTTAATTGCAAAATACTAACTAGCAGGACACAGAGTTCCCATGTCTCCTAACCTCCACCTTCTGTTACCTTCCACACTGTAAGAACGTTCACTATTGTGAAAAAGCCAATGCTCAGCGGGGAAAGGCATGTTGTTGAAGGGCTTTTGCATATACAAGGGAAAGAGCCAGCTACTTTGCTTGAAATATGTGTGGACAGCATGTGCTGTGGGAGAATAGGATTCTGAGATTGCAAGGAAAATGTGCATGAACATTTCACAGCCTAGAAAGCATTAAACATTCATCATCTCATATACTCTTTTCAACAACAGAAGATAACAGTATTATGCCCATTTTACAGCTGAGGAAACGAAAGGAGTCAGAAGTTAAATGACTTGCCCAAAGCTGCACAGCTGGAAATTCCAGGCAAGACGTCCTGACCCCAAAATCAATGCTCTTTTCAGGGCACCAAATATTATGGACTGAATGTTTGTGTTTCCTGCCCCCGCCATTCATATGTTGAAACCAAATCCCAGTGGGATGGTGTTGGGAGTGGGGCCTTCGGGAGTGATTAGGTCCTGAGGATGGAGCCTCAGAAATGGGAGGAGTACCCTTGTGACAGAGACCCCAGAGGATTCCCTCCCTTCTTGGGTCATGTGAGGACACACTGAATGAAGGCTCTGAACCAGAGGGTGGGCCTTCCTTCACAGCCACCAGCTCTGCAGGGGCCTTGATCTTGGACTTCCCCGCCTCCAGAACCATAAGAACCAAATGTTTGTTGTGTAGGCCCCCAGGCTCTGGTGTTCTGTTGTGGCAGCCCAAACAGCCCGAGGCACTCGGCTTCTGTCTGTCGCTGCGTGGGGAACAGAGCAGACCACTGTAGGGGTGAACTGCCCTGGGTGTTCCCAGGCACTATCCCCAGGTTCCATTTGCTTGAATTTGTCACATCTATCAGGACCTGATTGGATGAGCATGATCAGAGGCCAGAATCATCCTCTTAGCCTCACCGTATCCAGTGAGTGGAGACTCATACACACGAGTTGGACTCTTCATCTCAGATATCTCTGAATTCAGTGGAGTGCAGGGTAAGCATGATCCAGCCCCTGCACACAGCTTCACCTATTCTTCCCTGCTTCCCACCCCCCTACATTTACACTCTATGTTAACATTCACTCCAAACTGTTTGCAGTTCCCAAGCATGCCAGAAAGGTCTTTACCTCTATGCCTTTTATAATTATTATGATGATAATTACAATGCTGAGAGCACTCTCCTGGGTCTTACTAATGGGCTAGGTTCTACATATGTGTTGTTTCATTTACTATCCCCAACACAACCTAATGAAGCAGTTATTGTCAATCCCATTTAATAAATGAGCAAACTGAGGCCACGAGTGAAGAGCTGGGCTCTGGAGCCAGACAATCTGGGTTCATGCCCAGCTCTACCGCTAGCTAATTAGTCTGACCTTGGGCAAATTCCATCTCTCTCTCTCCACTTTGGTATCTTGCACAACACTGAGCATGATGAACCTGCCTCGTGGGGCTGTTCTGAGAATTAAATTAGATGGGCACAGCATTTGGCAATCGGTTAGAACTTCAGAAATGTTCGGAATTATTAATGCCCACTTTGTAAGCGGCCAAGAAAGAAACGGACTCAGCTCAGCTCTGATTCCAACGCTTTTGCTACTCAAGTTCCTAGTTCAAGACCCAGCTGGGTCACCTCCTCTCCACCTTGGTGAGGTGGGCTTCCATTCCTCTCTTTAGAGATGAGGGCACTGATGCTCAGGCAAGCTTCCAGATGCTTCTTTTTCACTTTGCCGAAATGCCTCTCAGAACTTCTAGGAAGAGTTTTATGATCTTCTGCCCTCTCTAGGGCTCCCGCCCTTCCAAGTTGAATAGACACCCCTCCCCCTGTCTCCTCTGTGAGCTGTCATCTGGGCTGCTTTCCTGCAGATACAGGGCCGGGAGCCCCTTACAAGTCTTGTTGGAATCGGATCTTCCCGGGGCCCCAGCTCCTAGCACTGGGCCTGGGTAAGAGAAAAGGGTTTAGATATCTTTGTAAAAGAAACCCACGGGTTATAATCAGGTAAGTCAGCACTTGATATGATATGGGCACATCCCAGCCCCCAACTCACCCAGGATAGCTGGAGGTGGAGGGTGGAAAGACACTGAAGGCTTTTGATGTAACTCTGGACGCCCTGCTGGAGGTCAGTGGAAAGATACTTTAAAGAACATTGTCTATATTCCTGAGAAATGTGGCTGAATTTCAAGACAACGATAGGATGGGCTTGAGGGCTGGGGGAGCAAGGCAGAGGGAAGAACATCAGATCAGTTCCCTAGGCATGTTGTGTTGTTACATGGAGAAAAATGTATTCTTTGCCATTATGGACAAGGGGAAAGATGGGGACTCTATAATACCCGACACTGTTATTATAGAGAGGAGCCTTCTGTCTGGGAATTTCTGTACTGAAAGTCCTTGGAGAGCCATTCATGATGGCACCCATACGCCCCCCTCCCCTGGCCCTGCTTTATTTTTCTTCATAGCACTTAGTCCCACCAGACACATCAGATATTTGCTTATTGACTGTCCCCGTCCCCCCCCCCCCCCGTGCCCCCCCTCCCCGGCCTCCCAGGCCGGAATTTGGTTTGGGTTCCTGGCTGTGTTTTATGATCTTCTGCCCTCTCTAGGGCGCCCTCCCTTCCAAGCTGAATAGACACCCCTCCCCCTCTAGAACAGTCCCGGCACTTAGTAGGCCCTCAATAAATCTGTTGCCTTCCGAATGTTTTGAATGTCCACGCTGTCACCGACCCCGCTGCGAGGTGGGCCGGGCGGCAGCATTCGGAGCACGGGGGAGGGGGAAGCGGCCCAGGGCGGGACCCTGACGGCCTGAAGGTCGGGAGGCTCGCGCTGAAGCCGGAGACCCGTCCGACAGGCTGTGACCTTGGGCCAGCCCTGCGCCTCCCGCGGCTGGGGTTTCCTGGCCTGGGCCAGGGGGCGTCGAGCGCCCCCCCCCGCAGCGCGCCCCACGCACCGGCTCAGCCGCCTGCCGCGACTCGCCCAAGGTCACCCCGCCGCCGTCTCCCCCCTGCCTGGCCCCCCGGCCCCCGCCGCGGGTTTTGGGGTGGGGGCCGGCGCGGGGCGGTCCCGGGGCGCCGCGCGCGCTGACGCCGGGCCCGCGAGGCGGCGGGGACGGGGCGCGGGGGGAGGCGGCGTCGGCGAGCGTCCTCCTTTTGTGCGAGCGCGGCGGCTCGGCTTCTCGAAGGTAAACGGCGTTTCCTCTTCCTCCCCGAGGCGTCTCTTCCTTTTATAGTTATTTCTCGCCTGGCACTCGCCGGGGCCGCTGCTGCTGCTGCTGCCGCCGCGGCGGGGGCCGCTCGCGAACCTGTGGCGGTGACGTGAGACCGGCCAACCCGGAAACGGCGGCGGCGGCGGTGCCCGAGGCTCCGAGGCTCCGAGGCTCCGAGGCTCCGAGGCTCCGAGGCTCCGAGGCTCCTGCGCTCCAGCGCCCGCGCTCCCCTCGCCGCTCGCCCGGCCGCCAGGTACGTGCCCGGGGCCCCGCCGCGCCGCCGCCCCGGCCGCCCGGCTCACCCGCGCGCCCCCGGAGCCGCCTGCGCCCGGCGCGGGTGCGGGGACGGGGGTGCGGGCCGGGCGGGCGGCGGCGGGAGGGGGGGCGCCGCAGGGGCGGGGGCGGCGCGGGGGGCCCCGGAGGACGCGGCGCGGGGGGCGCACACGCCGCGGGGCCGCCGCCCGGGTCCACCCAGCTGCGGGGAGCGCGCGGCGGGGCCCCGCGCCGGGAGGGAGGGGGCGTTCGGATGGCTGCCCCGCACCCGCACCCCGAGACCTGTCCTGCGCGCCAGGTGAGGCGCAGGGTCTAGCCCCGGCTCTGTGCAGCCCCCTGCCAACTTGCACGGGGGGCTGGAAAGCCAGTCGCTTCGAATAGAGGAACTAGAGGGGGTGAACAAAATCTCCATTGGCCTTAAGACTTCCTCCTGGGGTAACCACCCGCCTGTGTTTAAAGAGCACTTCCTCTTTGCCCTTTATCTTTTCCTCATCTTTTTTTTTAAATGGAAGTTCAGTGCAACCGGGTGGATGCCCTTGCAGCCTGCAGGGCTTTCCTGGGGCGATGTTCACCCACAGTGGGTCTCGAACCTGTGTGTCCCGTGTTGAGGGTGGGAGGAAAGAGGAACCGGGGACTTCCCTGGTCGGAGCCCGGGGCGGGGGGGGGGGGCAGGGGGGGGAGGCTTTGATCCCCACCCTGCTGCAAGAAATGGAGCCGATGGGGGAGGGGTTGAGCGGGAAGGAGGCCCCGCTGGGGAGTATCACGTGGACTTTGCACCTCTGTTTAATTCCTGGCCCTGCCACCTTACTAGTGTGTGACCCTGGACAAATCGCTTACCCTCTCTGAGTCTTGGACGGCTGTCTGTAAAATGGGTGCTTTGAGTAGGGCCTAGAGAAAGTGAGCGTTGACTTCCTGGCCTGGAGGGGGCGCCGTAATGGGAAGTGTCATTGTCAGTCGCCTCCCCTCTAATTTCTGCATCCCCACTGCCTAGAAGGGGTCCCTGGGTACATGGGAGGCTCTGGGTAGATATTTGTGAAATGAAGAGCTGGATCGTGAATTTTGAGAAGTGAGTGGGGGTGGGTCTACATTTTGGCTTCCGTGCCCAGTAACATCCATTCCACAATCCCCAGAGAGCCACATTTTGCCACCTGGGATCTGTGTAATCCATCCCCTCCCCCGAGGAGGATTATCTTGTGAAAATATTGATTCCTTGTGAAAAGGAGCTTAAAATCTGACTTTGAGCCTCTCCTATTCTGGAAAGATTGCATTCTGTGGAAAAGGAAGCATCATTTTGATTGCCACCACCAGATGAGTGTCCGAGGAGGGTTGCCAGGGCTAACACCTGGGCTGTTTTCCCAGACTTGGGGGTTCCTGGTAAACATGGAGGAAGCCGGGGAGAGGTGGTTTTCTTCCTTGGTGGGGCATGCAGGAGAGGTCAGCTGGCCCGAGTTTTCTTCCTGGGGAGGCCCGTTGGAATTTGCATTTTCCAGACCTTGCCAGACTTTTGGCATGGGGAGGAGCAGTGCGTGTGCTGAAGGAGACCAGTGTGGGTTAAGGCACAGGGGGACTTGGAAGTGGCCTTCAGGTGAAGGCCCGGTGTGGGTTTCTGCACTTCACTTTGGGAGATTTTCAAGTAATTTCGCTTTCTTTTACAGCTGGCCCTTCTTTCTCAGCTCCCAAAGGCTTCTGTGCACTTCTCTTAGGATCTGAGCTGTGGCTTTTTTCACATCCAGAGGGCAGGAGGTGAGACTGGGTGCTCCTAGTATTGTGAGAGGCAATAACAGGCCCCTGTGTGCTGCAGCATGCTGCCGTTTGGACACGGGCAGATTCGTTTTTAAGACGTGGACTGGTCACGGTTACCGGTGAAGGAGAGGTTTGATTCTTACTTTGCAAGACTTGGCGAGGGTGCAGGACTTGGCCCCAGACCCTCAGCCAGGAAGCGGCCGATTCAGCATCCTTGCCCGTCTTCCATCCACAGCGCGCTCTCCCTTTCTTCTGTGGGCTCTGCTCCCTTCTGAATGGCCTTTGTGTTTCCCCGGGCACCTGGCAGGCTGTCTGGCATGTGCTTGTCTACACGGTACACGTTTTGTGACCGACGAACAAAAGAGACATGGTTTCCCCCTTGCTCTTTACGGAGGTACATTTGGTCTCCACCTCAAGGTCCGGGCACTGGCCTGTAAGTGACCTTGAGATTGTTCTTTGGCAGTTCTTCCCAAGTGCATTTTGATTCCCTGTTCTGGAAGCGCGTTCTCTGACAGCGCTACTTCAGGATCCAGAGACAGTGACAGGAGGGACTCTAGAGGGAAGCCAGTGTCACGTGGCCTCGTGCTGAGCTTTGCTGCCATCTCCTTGTCTGAAGAGACCCCATCCCGTGGCTTCGGCAGCCTGGGACTTGGCCGTCTTCAGGGAATCCATCTTCCGGCAAGTGCTGTGGAGGCAGTGTTGAGTTAGTGACAAATCAGATTTAAAATGGGTCCACCGTAGCTACACGCCGGTCAGGCAGCCTTAGGGAGGTCGCTCCACTCCTGGGACCCCCTTTTCCTCATCGGTGAGCAGGCAGAATCATCCCCGCTCCAGCCAGTCCACCTCACAGGTTGCTGAGTGAGAGGGCAAGACCCAAATCCACACGTTCACCTTTGCTTCTTACTGCCCCATCGGCCTGTCACCAAGGGTCAGAGCCTCAGTGTTCTCATTTGTAAAATGGGACCGTGCAGCGTGGGGTTGTTCTGCTCATGCAGTAATATGACGCCCGTAGCCGAGACCCCTGCTAAATGGTGATCATCATCCGTTTCCTCAACTGGAGCTTCTCAAAGGCCAGCCCCATGTCTCTGTTTTAACTTGACTTGGAGCTTCTCCAGAGAAGTAAATTGAGGCGAGAGGGGGGCTGGCTGATTTTATTCTTTTTCACCTTCCCTATCTGGGACACTTGATAAAGGCCCGATGAAGAAAACATCATTAAGATGGTGTTTTTCATCCATTTCTGAGGGCAAAGGTCTTTTTTTTTTTTTTTTTCACTCTCATAAAGTTAACTCTTGAGGTGCTCATGGCACTCACTTCCTGTGTTCTCATCCCCTTTGCATGGACGCCTTCCAGCTTTAACACCAACACCTGAGTCCCTCAGACTCTCAGATCGACAAAGGTCCCGTTGCTTGGGAATGAAGTTTTTGACGGTCTGAGAAGGAGTGACCGGCCTCACCAGGTTGAAAGAAAGATAGTAACTTTGTAGCCAAGAACGCATGAGGTTAAGGGCAATTATATTTTCCTGTCGTCCTTGTCCACTTGGCCTTAGGGCCCAGACTGCCTGGGTACACATCCTGGTTCTGCTGCTTACTAGCTCTGTGACCTTGGGCAAGATTTGTCCTCTCTCTCTGGGCCTTCTTCAGCTTGAACGTGAGGGTTGTGAAGATCAACTCTGAGGTCCCGTGCAGTGCCTTCCAGCACGGTGCACGGTGCATAGCAGGTGCTCGGCCAGTGTGGGTTCCTCTCTCCCCCTCCCCAGGGCTCTGTCCATCCCCACCCCTGCCCCATTGTCCTGTCCCGCTACTATTCCCCTGGGAACTGAGTCCTGGGCTGACAGCTTCTTCCAAGATTCCAGTTCAAGGCTCCATGCTTCCCCAAACTAGTCGTTGACTGGCCATCATATGGCACTTCCGCTGAATGGGAAGATAATTGTACCAGAGCTAGTCAAGAAGAGTAAATCAGGGAGTCACTGAGTTTACGTTCCGTCCCATTGATTTTTTTTTCTCCTTTCCAAAGACTTACTAGCTGCCATCTGCTCTGAGGGAAGGAGACATCATGTTCATAAATATATAAATAATCGAAGTCAATGAGGAGAATTGTTTAAAGAAGTGTGGCTGAGAGTGATTTTAATAAATATTTAAGATTATCTGAAACTATTAGAGGAATTGCAGGGTTTATTAAAAAACTGGGAAACGTGTTTTGGAAAACTTTCTTTTCTTTCCAAGTTGAATAAATGTCAAGGGTAAAGAATGAGAGAGGAGCATATTCTGAGCATGAACACAGGGCCCGTGAGGGGCAGGTGGCCCGCCGATCTGCTTGTCTCTGTTGGGGGACGTTGGCATCTGGGCAGTCATCCGTTTATAGGTTCTGACAGGTGAGGAGGGTGACAGTAGCCAAATCCACAGAGCCAAGGGTAAGGGACCTCAGCATTTTCGAGAGCTGCTTGAGCTTCTTTGAGACTCGGGGGGTGGGGGTGGGGAGCCAGCGGGTAACACATGCCAGGAATCACCCTAGGGCCTGTACATTTCAGATCCTATTTGTGGGAGTCCGTGGAAGTCTTCTAGAAGGTTCCTAAGACAGATCTCTTTTGGTTAATGACGGGCTACATTTTAGTGAGTCCTGCTAAGGCCCATAAGTTCCATAAGTTGGAACGCTTCTAGGTGGTCAAAGCAAGGGATGTGGGGTGGGGGCAAGTCAGAGCTGGGGAGCATCTTGGAACAGTGCTCCCCAAACTGGAGTGTGCCCCCAAATCACTTGGGGGTTCCTTTGCAGATTCTGAGTCAGAGGCTGGGGATGTGCTGAGGTTCTGCATTTCTTATGCTTTCCCATGGGAAGCTCTGGTCCGTGGACCGCACTTTGAGTAGGGAGAGCATGAAGACCCCCACTCCCCTCATCATTCAGGAC